CCGGAGCTGCGCCAGAGCAGCAGCGCGCTGCAGGCCAGCCGAAGGAGGCAGCGGCGGGGGCGTCTCGGCGGCGCGAGCGGGGGCCGACCCCCTGCGGCACGTGCTGGGGCGGGGCGGGGAGCGGGGCAGCATGCCTCGCAGCGGGGCGGCGCTGCACCAGCTGGCGCTGAGCTTTGCCTCACAGGGAAATGTGGCACGCGCCCGCACGCTTCTGTTGACGGGGCTGCAGGCGGCGCCCCGTGACGCGGTACTGCGGCTCACTCTGGCACGCCTGGAGGCCGACGCCGGCAACATTGCTGCCGCCAGGGACCACTTCCAGCTGGCAGCCGCCGCTGCACCGCACAACGTGCTCGCCTGGCAGGTACGCTCCGCGCGGCGCACCCATGCACCTGTGCGCCCGGCGCTTGCAGGCAACTTCGTGTCTGGACTCACTCGACAGCAACTGTCTGTGCCAGGCACGGCAAGCTTGCTCTCGTCTGCACTGAACAGCAGGAGTGACTGCCATTGAGGTTAGTGGGTGAGCCGCCTACACTTGCCGCGCCTGAGTTCCCCCAAGCAGACTTCCTCAAGCAAGAACCACGGGGCCACTTCTCCGCGGTGTCTGCCAGGCCAGGGCAGCGCCTGCGGGCCAGCCGCACACACGTCATTTGACACGTGCTGGCTTCGTGCAGAGCTGGGGCGTGTTTGAGGCGAAGCAGGGCGACTTTGGCGCTGCGCGGCGGCTGTTTGAGCGGGGGCTGGCGCTGGATCCCCGCGACGCGCGCCTGCTGCTGACGTGGGCCAAGCAGGAGGCGCGCCGCGGCTGCCCCGAGGGCAAGGAGAAGGCGACGGAGCTGTACCAGCGCTGCCTCGACATCGACAAGAAAAACGCGCCCGCGTGGCAGGTCAGCCCGCGACCTTCAGCCTGGCCCCGCGAATGAACAGTCTTTGCAGCGGTGGTGGTCGGACGCACGCATGGTGCTACTGAGCGGTTGGAATTCCTTGGTGTTTGTGTGTCGGAGAGTCTCCGGTGGGTTTTTTATGTACTGTGCTGCTTCTACGTTCCTGGTTGTGATCGAACTCTGCTTCACGTTTGAGCACAAGGAGCCTTTTTGAGTTCCCTGAGTAGATTTCTGTGTCCTTGTAAAGCGCGACGACAGGTGTGGCAGTCCCGTCAATCCAAGGGGCCAGCTCCGACCACCACTTGGGCTTCAGCGATGCTCTCTGGGGCCGTCCGCTCGGCCGAGCCTGCGCTGCGCTCCATGCCTGCTGCCTGCCGCGCTGTGTTCCTCCGCGGCGCTGCGCTGCATTGCTGACACGCTCGCCCTGCCCGCGGTGCAGGCGTGGGGCCTGCTGGAGGCGGAGACGGGCAACGTGTTTGGCGCGCGCCGTCTCTTCGAGGCCTGCCTGCAGGAGGTCCCGCACGACCCGGCCCCGCTCACAGCGTATGCGCGCATGGAGCGCCTCTTCGGAGCACTTGACGCGGCGCGCACGCTGCTCAAGCGCGCCACGTACATGGACCCCCGCCACCAGCCCGCCTGGACGGTGAGCCGCCGCACAGCACAGCCTCCGGCCTGGCGCTGAAGTAGAGCATGCTGCGGTGTCAACCGCATGCCCACTGCTGTTGCGGGCGTTGGTGCGTTGCTTTGTTGCTCGGTTTGCTCGGCGTGTGCCTTTGCCTGACGCCCTTTGCTGTGGTGGGGGTGGCAGGAGTGGTCGCTGCTGGAGCAGCAGGCGGGGCGGCCTGCCGCGGCTGCCGAGCTGCTGGAGCGCGCGCGAGCCGTGCCTGCGCCCAAGGGGGCGCCAGCACCAGGCGAGCGGAAGCTGGGGGAGGCGGGCAACGGGAGGGCCCGCCACAGAAAGGGGCCCCGCAGGAAAGAAGCGGGCCTGCAAGAGGGGAGCGCAGCAGATGCAAGTGTGGCGGAAGGAAGGTCGCGGTTGTCGTTCGAGGCCTCAGTCCAGGCCTTGAAAGACTCCTTTAGGCCGAGCACCGCCTCCTGATAGTTTACACGTCTTGGGGAGCAGCTGTGGCGTCTGTTTTCTAGCCTGGCTGCAGAACCGCCCTGTTTGGTTCCACTAGTTCGAGCAGGTGTTTGCATTGTGCAGCGACAGAAGGTGTCGTCTGTTGTCAAAGCTCCCGGCTTGCTGGCGTTAGCGAGCCCTTTGTACAGTTTCGAATGAGTTGTGTATTGTTTGTGGGAAACCTGCTATCAATCAAGCAATTTTGCCATCTGTCGATTTCTGGAATCTAGCTGTGAGTACGAATATTGGACCATGGTGGACGCTTTTGGGCAAGCGGCAATCACTGACTTGTAATAGTCTGCCGAATCTGCTACAAGTGGAAAGTGCTGTGTACTTTGTGCATGCATATACTTTTGTATGTGCATGCACAATATACTAATGTCAACAGCTAGCCTGGGCCTTGCTCCCATCATTCATAGCTTTGCAAAAGTGTAGTGCAGCTAGTACTTACCTATACTAGTAGTGCCATGTAGCCAAAGAAGTCACAGGCTTTCATGCATGCGAATTACATCAATATTGTGCCAGGATTTAACTTGATAAGTTGTTTTCCATCTTCTTCACTACAATCAACGTATGATTAAAGCGTTCGTGGTGTAAGGCAGAGGTTTTCAAAAGTGGTACGCACTGAAGGCTAACTATGCACAACATATTATATGCTCGCCATCGCTTCTCCATTGTCGAACCCCCGTCCTGTGTCGAGGCCCCAGATTCGCAAGCGCGGAGAATGTTGCAATATTCTGCCCGCTCGCTTTAATTAGAATTATGCACTGTCGCGTAAAACTTTTAGCGCTAGCTTGGCCAAATTGAAAAACCTATGGTAATGCAACGTTTGGCTAGTTTAGCATGCTCTGGGGAGGGGTAAGCTGATCATGATCAGTGATTGAGTCTCATGTTACACGCCTAAATGCAGCGAGGAAGCTGTATGCGGCTGTATGACGTCGACGTTCTCAGAGGCCAATATAAGCAGTTTTGAATGTTCGAGTAGGAATGACACTGTTGACTCACTAGTTCAACGGACTCTAGAACAGATTCTAATAGCATATAGGAAACTTTGGCGATTGCTCTTGGCTACACATCTGCTCATGGTACTGATTACCAATTAGTTTTGCACTGCGCTGCTATAACAGGCTTGCGCGGTGAACATGCAAAGTAGAAAGGTGGACTATGTCCGACTATACGAGCCTAATCTGTTTAGTGAAGCCGTCGAGGCTCTAGACGAACAATCAACCGGCTTCCAACTTGGACCTCGAGTCGAGTATGGTACATCGGGCTCTCATGAAGATCTCGGCACGTTCAAGCTGTCAAGTAGGACACCGGGATGTCGGTGGCCTCTCCGCCCTCCCCCGGTCCCTGTTCTACGGGCTGACCCACCCGCGGAACGACCTTTGCCGCTCCAGGCCGCCCTCCGGTCCGCCCCGGCTGACCCGTCTGCTGACGGAGTCGCTGGGGTGGCCTTCCCCCGGACGGTCCACGCGCGCGGGCGGCGAGTAGGTGCGCGGCGCGGGCGAGTCCTTGCCGTCGAAGAGGTCGTCGTCGGAGAGCAGGAAGCGCTGGCTGCCGCTGCCGCGCGTGAGCGCTAAGGGGTGCGCGTACTCGAGCGCGGGCACGCCGCCCTGCGCGGGCCGCCAGCGACGCAGCGGGTCAGCTAGAGAGGGGGACCGAACAACCAGGCGGCACGCGAGCATTGGGCAGCCGCAAAGCTCTCGTGCGAGAACTTGTACTTTTGGTAATAAAGCGTGAGACCTTAAAAGTCAGCACAGACCATCAGCAAAGAGCTTTGTCCGCATCCCCTGTGTCGTAATTGTAGCGAACATTGTATCGCCTTTCTAGACTCCATTTAAGGTGCCGCATAGCGGCCGTGGCCTGCGGCCTCTCGCTTCCCGCGCGGCCCCGGGGCTGCGACACCTGCGCGCACCTCTTGTTTGAAGGGCCCCTGCAGCTCGGAGGGCACCCAGGGGCGCAGCGTCGGGCTGGGGGGCCGCCCTGGCGCAGCGCCGGCGCGGCCGCGCACGCAGCGCGCCCCGACGGCCGCCAGCAGCCAGAGCAGCGCCATGACCGCCAGCGTGGCGCCCTGGCCCACCACGAGGGGCTGCAGAGACGGGCGAGCGAGACAGGGTGAGGCGGGGGGGACACGCCGAGAGGGGCGGGCAGCGGGAACACAGGCACCGAGCGGCCGGGGATCCATGCGCAGAAGCGAATAGCGGCGAGGCGGCCCCAGGCCGGCAGCGGTGCGGCGGATGGCAGGGAGTGGCGGGAGCTCACGAAGATGCGCGTGCCGGTGAAGGCGGCGTAGCGGTACAGCCCCAGCAGCACGGCCCAGTTGCCGCCCGCCAGCACCGCGCAGCCCACGCCCGCGTGCAGCAGCCGCAGCGCACGCTCCACCGCCGGCGTGTACTCCAGGAAGGGCAGCCACCCCGCCGCCACCTGCAGCAGGCATCGCGCGGAGACTCACGGGTAAGGCAGCGAGCGAGACGACTACAGTAGACGTATCCAAGCTGACTCCGTTTGCGCTCGACGTGTCCGACATACTCAGATCTGCTCCCTTCTTGCGCCAAGGCAGCCCTACTCCAGCGTGACCTCTCCCAGGGGCCTCTCCCTTCGCCTCTCCCCGCTCCTCCTTCACCCCCCTTCTCCCCCGCTTGCCCCTCACCTGGGCCAGGAGCGCCCCGCCGACGGCGAGCCCCACAATCCCGTGCAGCGTGTGGATGGCGCGGCCGGGCCCCCCCAGGAAGGTGAGGAACGCGATGGTGAGGCCCGCCGCCACCGCAGCAGCCCCCAGCAGCTGGAACGCCACGTGCGCCCCCTCGAAGTACCACGCGTCGGCCTCCGCCTGCACGCACCACAGCATACCCGGGGACCGCACGTCAGCCGCGGCACGGTGGAAGCAGCGCCCCGGCAGCGGAGCAGGAGGCAGACCGGCACGGCAGTCTCATGCCAAATATGTCCGGTCCCACATCTTGCCGAGCACTTTTTCCAACCGCAGATGTGGACCGTCGATTAGAAAATTGTGTATACATCACGGCTGTTTGCGTGCACTTTTGGATTTTTGCCATGGCTGCCGCCCATGGTTCCGCCAAAGTAGGAGAGCTATCTTGTCCCCCATTCTCCACGAAAACGCCTTTTGAAAGGCCCAGAGATAATGTTCCAAATGTCCTCCATCTCAGGAGGGCAAGAAAGAAGAAAGAAGAAAGCCTTGAAAAGCCTTCTGCAAGAATGTACCCACGTGTCCATCCTTGGTTAGCGTCTCCCTAACCGGGTGCAAGATCTAAGCCCGGATACATTTGGTATGAGAGTGGCAGGGGGCGGTCGGACGCTGCGGCGCGCGCGCGCAGGCGTACCTTGTTAGCGCGGCTGGCCCGCACGAAGATAAGGCCCAGCGGCAGGAGCGCGCCCATGGCGACCGCCATGAGCCAGCCGTGGAGGCCGTACCAGTCTGCACCCGCGCCAGCGCCGCACGTCAGCGCAGCGCACACCTAGACACACGCAACGAGCAGGCCCAGAGGCGAGGCAGCCTTGCTGCCAATGGAGGAAGGCGTGCGGTTGTGAAGCGGAACCTGTGCACGGCTGCGAGGCTTGGCAGGGCAGCGGAGCGGAGGCGGGGGCCCTTACCGACGGGGTTGCGGTCGGCGCGGCCCACGCCCGTGGAGAAGTCCAGGCTGAAGCTGCCCCTGCCAGGGGCACCCAGCATGCGTTAGCGTGGCAACAGAAAAGACGAGCAGGGAGGGGGCAGGGAGAGCCCCGCCAGAGGAGGAGGCCGCCCTAGGAGCAGAGCCGCTCCGCACGCCGGGCTGTCTACGGTCCTTGCAACGAGACAGCAATGCAGGCAGGGGCCAAGCCCGAGTGCGCCGCCGACTGGAGGGGCATCCTCAGCAGGCGGCTGCTCTCCGGCGGTGCTGCCGCTGCGGCGCGTGGCCTGGGTGCGCGCACCCACCTGTTTTGCAGGCGGTGGTAGCGCAGGCCGAGGCGGCCGTCCTCCGCGAGGGCCCACACCAGCCGGCTGGCCTGCCCCGCCACGATGCTGGCGCCCGCGGCACCCGCGCTCAGCGGCCGCGTAAAGCTGCCGGGACAGCACACAGGGGGCGCACAGGTGAGGGCAACGCGGGACCGCCGAGAAGGCCACCACACCACGGGGGCCCAGCGCGGGTTTGGAGGGGGGCCAGTGACTGCAGGACAGCCAGGACGGGCCGCCACCGCCAGAGGCGAGCACGGCCTAGCGGGATGGCACGGGGCGAGGGGCAGCGAGTTGGCGTACCTGAGGACGGCGGTAGCAGCGTCTTGGCGGGCCAGCTGCGGGTGCGCGAGCGGGAAGACGGTGCTGGGTTGCACGCCGGCGACGGTCTGCGCCTGCAGTTGTACCAGGCGCACCGCCGCGGGCTGCTCGGCGAGCACGGCGGTGGCGCCCACCATGCGGCCGTCGGAGGACCAGCCGAGGGCGGCCCAGCCTGCGGAGGCGGGGAACTCGAGGGCCAGCGAAATGGAGGCGGCCACGATGCGCCAGTGCAGGCGCAGGCTGGAGCACGGGGAAAGGAACGATGCAATGAGCATGTGGGGCAATGGAGCGTCTGTCTCTCATAACCTGTGCAACAGCAAAAGGAATGGTATCGAGGAAAGAAGGACATCTGCTTCAGGTGCTCGAACCTGCAACATGCAAAGGGGTGAAGAGAAAGGTGCTACAAGTTGGTCCAGAAAGCGCCGGCTAATGATAAGAGCAGTCTTGAAGCCGTGTTCGCCAAATATACGCACACCAGATAGGTGGTAGACAGAAAGTTGGAGCAAGAACAGCGGCGGCGGATCAGAGGCAGGGGACAGCTTACTCCAGTCCCCATTCTCGAAGACTCGAAGGAAGAGCAGTGCAATGACAGCAGGCTGGCAGCAAGCGTCAACAGCCGCTCACTGTGGAGGGAAGGACGGGGAGACAGCTCACCGCGCGTTGATGCGGAAGGTGCAGTCGAAGAGCGGCAGCGGAGAAGGGGGGCACGTGCCGCGGGAGACGACCCCCACGGGGCGGCCCAAAATGAGGTTCAGATTGCCAAACACGCCGCTGCAAGGGGAAGCGCCGAAGGCGTCAGCCACAGCGGGCGCCTCATCATTACACTCGACTACCCAAGCGCAATCCCCGCCGGCCGTGGCCCGTGGCAGCCGCACAGCCTATCGCCGAGTGGCGACTGGCGCGCGCGCGCTCACCGGTTGGCGCGGCCGTGGTCGAGCATGTCGGTGGGCGCGTACAGCTGCTCCAGCGCGGCGCGGTCGAGTGTGCCGCGGCTCTCGTTGGCGGCCTGCGCGCCGCTCTGGCCGACGGCCCACATGACCGTCTGGTCCTCGCGCAGCGTCACCGGCTGGTCGCCCACCAGGTTCGCCGACACCAGCGGCCTGCGCGCGCGCAAGCACACCAGTGGGCGGGCACGCAACGCATGGAACGCAGCAAACGACAGCCTGGAAGACAGGCCAGCGCTCACCGGCGTGCAAAACTCATCCCTTGCTTTTGCGATACAGGATTTAAAGCCAGTCTGTACCGGCTTTACCGGATACACGCCGCCTTGGCTGAACCCCTTTGAATCTCAAGGGGCTTAAAAAGAGTCCGCCGACTTTGAGAATGACGGCGCGGACGGAGATCGTGCTGCATGCGCGGCCCTCCCCGCGCCGTGTGTGGCGTTGCGCGCTCACCTGCGGAACTTGCAGAAGACGAGGCTGCCCGCGGCGCGCCCGATGGCGTCCACGATGTCGTCCGTGCCGCCCAGCGCGCCGTCGGGGAGGGGCGTGCCGTACCCGGCGCCGCCGCCCAGGTCCTCCACCTGCCACGCGCGCGCGCTTAGGCAAAGGGCAGCACGGAAGGCCACAGATCGTGGCAACTCAGAGGGGGCACAGAAGAAGGCACCGGGCTCGCTTAGTGCTCTGTGACACGCGCTAGGAGGCACAGCTAGAGGCAAGCTCTCTGATGAAAGCTTCGCACTGAAACAGCCAAGAAACAGGGTTCGAAGGCATTCGCGGGCAACACGACGGGTGGCACCCTGCCGGGCAATGTTTCAACGCGCGTACGTCACCTTAAAATATTCCCCGACCGCATAGCACGCGGTGATGTCCGCGAGCCAGCTGGGCGGCAGGCGGCCGGGGGCGGCCACCACGGGACTGCTGCGGTTGAAAGCGGCCAGCACGGCCGCCCCCGCCTGCAGCAGCCGCCGCCGCCCGCCAGGGACGGCCGTCGCATTGGCGCTTGCGCCCGCGCTCACGTTGGCCGCCGCTTCAACCGTAGCGTTGGCCGTAGTGTTGGCCGTAGTGTTGGCCGTAGCGTTGGCCGCGATGGTAGCCGTAGCGTTGGCGGTGATGTTGGCCGTCCCGTTTGCCAGGGGCAGACCCGAGGGCGGGCTGCCGAAGAGGAGCGTCAAGTTGGGCCCCGGCGGCGCCGGAGGGGCGAGAGCATCGTAGAGGAGCGACGTGTTCTGGTACACCGGCGCCAAGGGCGACTCCCGCACCAGGGTGGCCGGCCCCGGCAGCAGAGCCGGCAGCGCCGCAGCCTGCACCAACAGGGACGCGCCCCTTATGGCGGGGAGAGGCGGAAAAGAAGGTAAGCGGGCGGGGCAGACACGAGGCGGGCGGGCTTGCTCAGACACGGCAGCGGGCACAGAACCGGTGCATCACGTGGTTACGAGCGGTGCGCACCTGGTCGAGCGAGGCGGGGCGCCAGCCGACGCTGACATACGACTCCGTGACGGCGGCCATAGCCACCTCGATGAGCTGCGCCTGAGGGGGGCCTACAATGCGCGCATACACGGCCACGCCGGGGGCACGCAGCTTGACCGGGTACTGCACCTCCCACGCGCGCAGGTCCAGCTGCAGCAGCACAAGAGGCAGTGCCAGTCAGCAGGCGCGGAACAGGGCGGCGGGAAGCGTCTGCGCCCGTGGCTGGCCGATCGGATCTGGCGAAGAAGAGGCCGCAAGAGCGATGCGAGACAGCCGCACACAATTCTCAGATGCTCAGAACGCAGCCCGGCAAGCAAAAGAGCAGAGGCGCAGTTAGGCCAAGGGACTGTGCACATAGAAGAGTCAATGCGAAGCAACCGGAGTCTCTGTCTGTAAGACTTGCGGACATAGATGCAAGATGCCCTTTGGGATGCTACTTGGGATGCTACTATCTTGGAGACTTTGCCGCCGCTGAAAAGCCCAACTACGAGTGATACATAGTGGGAGCCAAGGTCTGTCAATGCGTCAAGCCGTCTTCAAGGCTCGTTGACAAGATTGCGTTCCACTGTACTACAACCTACCTGGACATCCAGCGAGAGCTGGCTGCGCTGTGTGCACAGCGGCCCCCTCCAGCCCGCCTTGCAGAAGCAGCGGCGCGGCTGGGAGGGCGTGCGCGCCACGCACAGCCCCGCAGCGCCGCAGTCGCTGTCGTCCACGCACGCATCCCGCACCTCGCCGTACGTGCCCGAGATCGCTGCGCACGTGGGGGCCGCAGCGCCAGGGGGGGCCAGCAGGGGGAGCGCGGAGTTGCACTGGCACGCAAACCTGCAGGGCAACAGGCAGCAAAGGGCACAGGCGTCACGCCTGGGGGGAAAGGAACTGGGGCGCAAGGTTGAGGAGCTTGACAGGAAGACAACTTGTGCAGAGCAGGCTGTCAAGGACACCCTCATCCAGCCCCGCATATGCCCTTCTTGCGGTGGAGGTGCGCGGCTGTGGGGGACTCACGCTCCAAGGCCCGCCGGCTCCAGCACACAGGTGCCCCACCCTGCACGCCGGCAGACAGGGACAGCGGCGTCAGCTGCGCGGCCCCCTGCGATGCCTGACCGCCCACATCATGACACACTGCTGCGGCATGGCTCTGGCCCGCACCAGTGCGGCCACCGTTCCTGGGGAGGGGCCAGAATGCTTAGAAGGGAGCCGTACCTTGGCATTGGTTGGAGCATGCGTCCAGGCCAAGGGTCACATTGACGTCAGCACAGCTCCACAGCTCGGGGGGAGCACTCAACATGCCGGGAGCCCCGGTGGGCAGAATCTCTGTGAGGCGCAGCGTGCAGTTGGGGCACGGCAGGGCGGGCAGCTGGATGAGCTGCCACGTCTGCAGCGGGTCCGCCCCACCCGCTGCCCCGCCCGGCAGCAGCGAGGCTGCGCTGTAGGGCACCAGCAGAGAGCCAGCGGCGTCCAGCAGCGCCAGGGAGAAGCGGGCACCTGCACACACAGGAAGGGGGAGGTTGGGTAGGCATAACCAACGGGGAACGGCGGGGGGCAGGAGAGAGGAGAGGGGGGGGGGTAGGTGCGAGCGGAACAGAGTTAACGGAGAGACTCTGCAGATCAACCATCCACTCAAGGCGTGGGGCAACGCAAGGCAGAGTGGAGAAGACCAGAGCGAGCTCCAGGATAGAAAGGAGGCAACATACGACCCACCGGCGTGAGCTTGGACACTGCCCTATCGAAGGCCTCGTTGACAATGATGTGGCCAGGGCACGAAAGTGGACTGCACTGCTAGGAACACATATCGAGGTGCAACACTAAAAAAATTGATGGAGTTCTGTCAGACGCTGTAGGGGTTTGCCAGCGGTCCTGCCCTCTATTCAATGGGGGTGTCCAAAGAGGGGCACCTTGTGGCTCCTTCCGGCCCCCCGCCTATCGTGCGCTCCATACGTGCTGCAGACCCAGCCTGCATCCGGGATGCTCTGGCAGGAGAGGTATTGCAGTTGCCCCCTCCCCATAGGGCATGCCCAAGCCCCTGACAGCCTCTGGCGGAATGGTGGGCTCACCTGGGGTGGGGTGGCTGTTGTGCCACGACACATTGACCAGGGCCGCCGCCTGCAGCTGCGTGACTGCTCCAATGGTCCTCGCCCCACCACCGCAGGGGCCGGGCTGCAGCTGTGAGGCGTACAAGAAGTCACCCAGGCCGCGGGCAGGGGGGAAGGCCAGCCGCACATTGGCTGCAGCCGGGGGGGCAAGCAGCAGCAGCGGCAACAGCAGGAGGAGCAGCCCCCCGAGCAATGGCGTTGGGTGGGAGGGGGGCGCTGCGGGCCCCGCCATAGAGAACTTGGCTGGCAGGCAGGCAGGGGGAGGCAAGTGCAAGGTGCACACCGCTGCCTGCTACAGCACTTTCCCGCACCGCGTGAACGTGCACAAATGGCCTGGCTACTGCTGGCATGCAGTGCAATGGCATCTTCCCTTGCCCAGCTGCTGCTGACTGAGTGGCCAGATGGGCTGCCAGGGGCCTGGCCCAGCATGGTCCCGTGCTGCAGCGCTGCAGCAGCGAGGCAGTCGAGCAGCACGAGGCGGCCGTCCCTCGGGCCATCGACCAAGGCAGCGTGGCAGCCACAAGGGGGGAAGAGGGACGTGGCCGCTAGTGGTGGCGCCCAAGGACAGCGCCCGAGGGGCAGAGCGACCGCCCACAGTCGCCCAATGCCGCAAGGTGGTGCAAGCAGCAAGGCACGGCAAGGGCAGCCGGCCAACGTTGGAAACGACGAAACTGAGGAATGCCTATGAAAGAAAAGGGAGAAGGTCACCTATTGGTTCTTCTGAGCTATGCTGGCACACAGTTCGCAATGCAGCGATTGATGCATGCAAAGGGGAGAGATACCAAGACACACCGCCAGTTAAATCCGACGGTTGAGAATTGCTCATGATAAAGTCGCGGTTTCAAGCCGTCCATTTAAGTCGTTGGGCTTGACAGATGACCGTCGATAAGCAACTGCCCTGCAGACTCGACCCCGGCCGCTGGAAGTGAAGTGCCAAAGAAGGGAGCAATGATTCGACAGCATAATTGGAGACACGAGCCGGCAGGTGCACACCTGGGCTGGAGACGCGGGCGGTCGGCTTAGCCGTGGCTCGGCATTCAGTCCGAATTCCGAGCAAAAGCCTGAGTGCGGCAAAAAGTGAATGATACGGTAGAGTACGGTTCTCTGTTCATCAGTTCATGGTATCAGCTACAGTGGCTGCATGATATGCGTCGAGGCGACCAAGCTGAAAAGCCTGAGGCACGAGAGCGACGTGCACGGAAGAGGAAACAGGGCAGTTCAAGGCCTTATTACTATGTTTTGTATGCTTGATTATCCTGATACAAGATTTCTCTAGTTCAATCATGCATCCAATGTACCCTTTTCCATCTATCGAGTCAGCTTCTTTGGACACATATCATATGTAGCTAGCTTCTTGTCTTCTGCCACAATATTCATCCGGTCCTGCTACTCCGATTCGAGGACAAATTATACATGAGCTTCCTGGAACTGATACTACGACTTCCATTGTTACAGATTATGACTGAGCAGTAGTGCAACTCTCAAAGCGGAATAGGCTTGTTGCAGACGGTGTAATGTGTTGTAGTTGACGCAGCTTGAGCGTGAGCCCCAGCGAGCCGGAGGGCACGACCACGGACGTAAATCAACACTGTGGTCCGGATGTAAGGACACTGCAGAGAAAAGGCGCCTCCCACGTAAGACGCTATTCCGGCTCATGCGCGTTATACGCTGTAGCGCTCCTGCTGCCCCGGTCCCCCGTCCCCTCGCCATGCCCGGCGCCCCCGTGCCCGCAGACCCCCCCCTCGCGACTCCCTGGCGGCGGTACCACGGGCCCGTGCAGGTGCAGCCCCACCGCGCGGCTGCCAGGCGCCGAGGCGCCCTCGCTGCTAACCTTCAAAAGATGCTGCTTTCGCATGAAACTTAGCAGAAGTGGCCAGACTCTCCGCCTGGGCTCAATCTATTGATCAGACAACCATGTGACACTTGGTGTGCAAAGGCTCTCCTCGTTCGAACACCTGCCACCAAGTTCGTGCCACGTAAGCCGAAGTCAAGAGGCCAGAGGTCCCTTGCGCCTGCGAATCCCTGGTTGCCCCAAGTCGCTTCCCTGCTGACACTGCCACTTGGACTGCTGCAGATCCCCTGGGAGTGCGGCTGCGGCTTCACCGCCGGCACCGAGCGGGCTTTCCTGCGGCACACCGCCGCAAGCGCCGGCACAGCCACCGCTCCAGCCACGCACCACGCCACAATGCTGCCCCGCGGCTCGGCCCCAGGTACAAATGTCACCACTAGGTCACGCGACGCCTCCACTGAATCAACCTTTTGATGGCATCCGGTCCACCGGATCTCTTCTCGATCCCCAATCCGACTCATCCTGCGGGCCCCAGCCTCAAACTCTGGCTCATGTCGATCTTGAATTGCTGGAAGATGGGAATGTGCTGGGGGGGATACCATCCAATTCTGCAGCGCAGCTCTGAGCTGAAAACTTCGGGAACCTCTACCTTGCTTTATACAACAGGCCAAAGTTCAAACCTTGCTTTATACAATAGGCTAAAGGCTAACGGTTTGCTTGACAAGCCGCCCAATGTGCGATGGAAGCGGCAACGCCGCAGGGTTTGGCAGCCATGCTAGGACGACAGCCAAGCAGAGCCTCTGACCCACTCGGGCCTACCAATCAGTCATGCTGCATAAGAAAAGGAAAACTTGAGGCAAGAAAGTGGCCATCAAGCAACAAAGGAAAAAGCTCGACGGATGACAAGCATTATGATGGGGTGCTTGAGACGTAAAATCTGGAAGCCGCTTGTCTAGTAAGTCGTCTTTCATTGAAAGCTTCATCAGTGGCTTTTGTGCACCCAAACGAACTTCTGATGGCTCGTTCTGCACACTGCCTGCTTTTGTTTGCAGCTTTTGGACATCACTTCTTCCCGTGGGACATCAGTTCTTCCCGTAGGACAATCTCGCAGCCTGTTTCATGCTGCAATCGGGTCTATTCCGCTCTCCTCCTGTCAGCACATGCAAAGGCTCTAAAATATCCAGGGCTCCTCTTTGCAGGCGTTTCGTCCCCTTTTCAATGAAATTTGTCTTGTTCTCACGAAGTCCGTACCTCCAGCACCAGCCTGGGCCGACCCTCGACGAGCCACGCCTGCCATTATATGACCTGTGCTCGTGCGCTGCCTCCCTCTAGGACCTGCCATTGGGCTCACTCTCGTGCTCCCCGCCTTTGTGTTCACTGTGTGCAGCCTGTGCCGCTTCCGATGCGGGCGCCTCGGCCTGCCCCGCCGCAGGCTGCCCTTGCTGCGCAGCGGAGGAGCAGCTGGTGGGGGTCATCCAGCACGATGCGCGCACGCGCCTGGCCCGCCTGCCCCGCCCGCCAACAGCCGCAGTCACGCGTCCAGGCGCCGCGCCTTGCCAGGACGAGGCCAGCACGGCTGCGACGACAAGCGGCCCCTCCCCACCGGCTTAGGACGGCCTATGGACGGAGGAGGCAACGGCAGGGGGCTACTATGCGCGCGTCAATCCAGAGCTTAGGTCCGAGACTGTGGTGACCAACGGGGCTGAGCCAGTGCAAGCAGATGCGGTGCGCGGGAGAAGCGGGCAGCCAGACGAGGCGCCGTCGCCAGAGGGGACGCAGGAGAAAGGGGTAGACGGCGCCATCGACGACGTGCAGCGAGACAAGGGCATCGGGGAGGGAGGGCCTCTAGCGAGCAGCTTCTTCCGGAGCCAGGCCAGGCAGGGGCCCAGCCAATGGAGGCCGGCGCTGCGCATGATGAGCGTCGGGCAGGATGACGAGCGGCAGGAGGAGAAGGCCTCGGCGCGCGCGGTGCGGGAGGCGACTGCCGCGCGGGCGGACGAGCACGACGACGGGGTGGGCCAGCGCAGCGGGGAGGGCGGGATGCGAACGGCACGGGAGCTCCTCAAGTGCGGCCAGGGTCGCGAAGCATTCACTCGGCAGGGCCCAAAGCAGGCGGCGGTTGACTTGCGCAGAGACGGAGACACTAGCGAGCACACAGACAACGGGTATACAGGCGATGGCCTCGAAGGGCCAGATTCCTTGACAACGAGGCAAGCAGTGCTCAGCCGTTCAGAGAGCTGCACACCGTGTGCAGAGGCAAGTGCGAAATCCTCGTTGGAGCCTGCAGGCTCCGCACTTGCTGAAGGAACGAACGAGCCAGCCACGTGGCAGGACAAAGAGGTCGACACGAAGTGGTCGCCCGAGGGGCATGCCGGCGCCGGCGGTGCTGCCCCCTC